TGACTTCAGAAAGGTTAAGATATAGGAATACTTCAGATTTTAGCTACGTGTTCGATCACTCGAATATGAGCAACGGGCGACAAGCATGGCTACTGATGTCTACGGAAAGAAACAGTTTATAGTTATTGTCATTATTTACGGGCTATTTAACGGAGACATTTCTACGAAATGGGTTATATAAAGATATTAAATGAAGACATTATGTTGTAAACTAGCGTCATTAAATCTCGAAAATATATCTTAGGGACAGACAAAGAAAGTTTGGTTCGGTAAAAATAAGTAACAATAATAAATAAAAATAAAATAAAAAATAAATAAAATAAAAAAATAAATAAAAATAATTAAAAAAACAAATAAAAATAAAAATTATAAAATAGTTTCTAGAATTAAGAATTATTATTCTACATTATTTGCATGCAGACTATTGTTTTAATCTTTATCACGTTTCGGCCATTGTTCTCTCCGAACTTCATCAGGTTCGTGCTGATACGGGTACCCTACAAAGAACCCTTTACTTAATCTACGAAAGAAGACAGTTCTCGTTCCACTGCTCATGTTCAGGGATATCTATGCCTATTTTCGTACTTATCAATTTGATAGGAATATATAGATTCACTTGTAGTCTGGTTTACACACCAGTTCTTGGTTTTTTGAACGAGATTAGGTTTATCCCTCGTTCCCTTTTCCTTCTAAAGTAAAATTCAACTCTATACTTCTAACGTCTCCGCCTAATTGATTTTTTTCTACTTGTTTAGAAGCCGCCCTTTGGGTGAACTTTACACTACCTACTAGGATGGCTTTCTGACTTTACATTCAACGTCCTATGTATGTATATGGGCACGTGGCCGAGTGGTTAAAACATACGCATTCTGACCATGAGACACGGGTTCGAAACACACCAGCATTTGTCAGGAAGGAGACTTCCTGATTTTACCGGACTGAAGTGGTCGCCACCAGCGTGCGGTATATTTGAAAAGTTCCTGAAACCAATACAACATGTTACACAAGCCTTGTGACTGAAATTGGGTAGACTGTGCCGTCAGTAGCTCTGCTAGCACAAAGTCAAAAGTAATTGTGGCCGAGTGCTTGAGAGCGCTGGCCTTTTTCAAATTGTTGATCATGCTATATAACCCACTCTTTCCCCAGAAACTGTAACTAAGTTCTGTTCAGCATTGGGTGTTGGATAGACACAAATGCCAAATAGGGATTGGCTAGCGGCTCTAGTAGACGGATATACTCAAATACGAGTGGCCAGATATACATATACCTATGTACGTAAATGTTATAAGAATTTAGAAATAAAATTATATCTTTATTCGACACCATAATTCGGTCATCCTGGGTATGACAAACTAAATCCGCGCCCTAGGTAAGACGATAAACTACGTCCAGCAGCAAAGCCTCTGATCAAGAGGTTTTGAGGAGCGTGGAACCACCTCTTAATTGCTGGTGTTCCCAGGTCCACCCTGACCCGGGGTGGTAGCAAATGTTAGGGTCCCAGCTATGGGCAAATAGTTAACGCCGAAACTGTGGTAAAAATGGGTTTTAATACTAAGAATACTTTGTTTAAAAAATAAATAAATAAATAAAATAAATATCGCCAGCAATAAATTTTTGAAGAAAAAAAATATTACCAACAAAATTTTTTGAAGAAAAAATTATTACCAGAAATATATTTGAGAAAACAAAATATTTCCAGCAATGAAAACACTGTCGCCATTAAATAACCTATTGAGGTTGATATGCCGTAAAACACAAGCCAAATCAATTGCGCATAATCTTTCTTCATATACGCAACCCATCTCCATAGTTTGTTTACATTTATTTTGCGCGCAATATTTTTCTTTTAAAATCAACATTTTTTATGATTGTTTCACAAAGTCACTCTTAAAAGACATTAGGGTACAAGAACTATGTAATATTTTGAATACGTCACAGTTTGCGTGCAAGAAAAAGAAAAAAAACAAACAAACATGAGCAATGTAATGTGACCCGCTTAAGTTTTAATTACGAATTTATTAGACGATATTAATTGCGACGAAAAGCGAAATTAAAGCTAAACCTTTAATAAAAGAATTGTTTTTTTTAAACCTTACACTATTCGATATTTAAATTTAACTTTAAACGAGTTATTTAGTATTTAATCGTGTCTAACTACAGTAGTACTGTTGTGGTGTAACTTAAGTATGAAATTACAGGAGAGAGAAAGAAGAGAAGATGAAGCCTTTAAGTGTTTGTTTTGACGCCCAAACTAGTTAACGTGTAGAACTTAAAATCTCCACTCCTCATTCATGCTTAGTTTTTATATCAAAGGCAGATACCATTTCTTGGCAATCCACATTTGTTTCTTCTGGTTGTTTATGATTCGACGAAATCGAAAAACGGACAGACGGACACACATACACTACGCTTTTTATATTTATAATAATAATAATAATGATTATTATTATTATTATAATAATAGTAATAATAATTATTATAATTATAATAATTATTATAATAATAGTAATAATAATAATATATAATTATAATAATTATAATAAAAATTACAATTATTATAATTATAAAAATAATAAAATAATAAAAATAATAATAATAATGATATATTTTGATTTTTCGTCAATAAGAGTAAATCGGTTCATCTATTGTCCAGTTTACAATCACGGTCTTTTGAATAGAAGTAGAGGTTTATCTACTATTTAAGATTAGGTTGCCTGTGCCTTCTAAATTCTTCCCATTCTTTCATCTTTAGTTGCTACTTGTGTCTTAACGGCATTATCACCTTGCTTGGGGCAATTTCATTAAAAAAATGAAAAGAAAGTCATTGCTCACCCTGTTTCCTCTAAGTACACACTGCCGGGCTAAGGGATTGAAATTAAAATTACTATGATACCACATTTACGAACCAACAATTTAATTCACCTGGCTATCGTCCAGTGAAGATGAGAATAAACTGCATGTAAATAGTTTAAATTATAAAGTCGTGTTTATAAGCGCTCCATTTTTGCTTGTTTGTTTTATGGCTTATCAACCTCAATGGGTTATTTAATGCTGACAAAATTTTGATTGTTGGTAATATTTTTTTTCCCAAAAATCTATTTCTGTTAATATTTTTCCTTCAAAAATCTATTTCAGTTAAGAATTTTCCTTCGCGGGTAATATTTGATTTTTCAAAAATGTATTGCTGGTATTTTTTTTTTTTGCAAAGTATTTCTGGTATTAAAACCTATTTTTACAATTTTATAGCGTTTTTTACTCGAGTTTCGGGGTCAACTCTTTGTCCATAGTTGGGACCCTAACAGGTGCTACCACCCTGGATCAGGGTGAACCTGGGAACACTAGCAATTAAGTGGTGTTTCCACGCTCTTCAAACCCTCCTGATCAGAGGTCGTGCTGTTGGACGTAGTTTAACAGCTTACCCAGGACGCGGATGTAGTTTATCGTCATACCGAGGACAGCTCCATCTTTTTGTACGACCAGACCGTAAAAGCTAAAAACCTGCCTTGTTTCGTAGAATCAGCCTCATTCTCTACATATTACTTTGGTAAGAAATACGATCCATTTCAAAAGCACAGATTTTCGCGTTGATACATCACCTTAGCCTCGTGTAATCATTATCTCTCCACCAAACCATCGTAATTTTCACCTCCTATTACCTCCTGCTACGTTCAGGTCACAAACCCCATTCAGTGATCCTCTACCATGAAGCTGCATAGACGTTGCATTGCAGGAAATCTAAGTAAAATCTGTATCAATCGCCGATGTACATAAAAAAGAAACAAAGGCATATTTGAACAAACGACATCAAAGAGTATCATTTGAAGAGTATGAGCAATCAGTCAATAAGTGCCGTGCTTCATACACGTTGAGGAGACCATGTGTCTTTCGAGGCAGTTTTTTTCCCCGCAGTAAACCAGTTGCAATCCAAAGCTATAGATCCTGGTCTGTTCTGATATTTACTATTTCTGGAGGGAGAAGAAGAGGATTCATACCTTTCCCAAGGTTATTAGCACGTAAGTGAATGTAATGGATTCGACTGGAATTTGAACACGGCCCTCCGATTCCTCAATTCATTACTCTACCGTGCCGCCTGTAATTACAACGAAAAGTTAAATAAAGGGAGAGAAATGAAAAGATGAATAGGGATAGCTTAAATGGTATACGTAAAGATCTATAAAGCCTCGTAGCTTAATTAATAAATTAATCTTTCGGCTGCAGTAGCATCTTAAATCAAGAGTAATCAGCTCAAGCCCTCATAAAACACCTGTTTTATAAAAGGAAAGATGTGAATGGTCTTCATACGTGGTGTGGAAAGATGTGAATGGTCTTCATACGTGGTGTGGAAAGATGAGAAAATGAAAAAATTGAAAGAAAAAAAAATAGTCAAATAAAAATGATAGAGAATAGAAACAAATAGTTTGCAAAGAAAGACGAACTAACAAAGGGACGTAATTAGAAAAAAAGTGATTGAGAAGGAGAAGTGAAACTGGCATAAAGGAAAGGTTTCGATGAATAAAGCTAAAAATGTGAAGGATTTTGAAAAAGAATCAAACGGAAAAAAGAACGAAAATAGAGAAATATTAAGTGAGCTAAAAAGATTAGAATGACCGAAAAAACAAAGAAAAAAGAACCCCCACCAAAAAAAACGAAGTAAAAAAATTTAAAAAATTAGAATGACCGGAAAAAAAAAAAAAAAAAAAAAAAAAAAAAAAAAACCAAAAATAAAATAACTACCCCCCCAAAAAAAATACAAAAATACAAATGTAGAAACAAAAGAAAAAAGAAAAGAAATTCGAGAGAAAATGAAATAATGAATGAAAAATAAAGGAAAAGAATAAAACAAGAGAGAAAGAAATTAAATAGGAAAAGAGAAAAATGAAAAGAAACGAAGTAAAAAGAAACGCAATGAATAAATGTGCCCAAAAAACAGCTGATGAAAAATAAAGAGAGAATAATGTGAAAAGAAAAGAAAAAGGCAAGAAATAAAGGCAAGAAATAAA